GTGTAAACAATTGAAAAAAACTGTAAAAGATTAACAAAAGTCTTATGGGTCAACACAAGAGAAAGTCATTGATGACAAAATTTTCATTTTTGGGCGAACTAACCCTTTAAGCTTCAATTTCATACCTTTGGAAGCAGTGAGCTGCAGACAAAACCCAGTCTTTATTGATTAGACTCCCACCACAGAAATGGCCTCCAAACCTGACACTTTGAATGCTGACTTGCCACGGCCAAGACCCTGCCGTTGCATCCTGTCCTCCAACAATCTTGTTGTTGAGGGGAGCTTGACCACATACTGTTTATAGGAAAGAAAATGTGGGAATTTCCAAATAAAATGCCCCAAAGCATACAAAATATGTAGAACAAGAGTGTTATGGTCATTAAGAACTTACAATCTAATGGGCAGAGAGAACCTACAGTATGAGGGAGACAGATACCAGATTTCCATTACACGAGATTTCCATTGCTTTCGCCAAGATAAGCAAAACTAAGACATGGCTTTACAGTAAACTATGCTTCTCCATCCATTTACGCTTCTTTCCATATGGTGGTGTGACTCCCCTTCTGTCCGGCGTTAACGGCAGCAGTGTACTTGGCGCGTCAGCACACGCGACGGCTGCAACTACAGGACCAGCACGACAACCGTCTGGATTGAGCCGAGTAGGGGACATCTCTAGGGTCTTCAAGTGGGCACCTTCCATCCTCAGTGTTTCGTCGACTAGCCCACGACACCTCAAGAGGGCTCGACAGTGACTCTGGCGTCCCAGAGTCACCCCCCTCCATCCCCCACTCAACTCAGTCCAGCTTACTGACCTCTACATCCCTCCTGCTGCTGAGACCTAACCACAATCTCACAATCTCTCCGCAACCCGACCATACCAGATATTTAGATAAACACTTACAAAGCTGATGAACTGGTTTGTGTTACCTGAATGCAGCCTCACTGTTCTAAGTAAATATACCTTTTACATAAATGTGTTGACACATACCATTGGCATGAATCAAGATAATTTATCCACACGGATTATAGCCACATTGTTAAAATGACCCATTGTCATGGCATGAAAGTATAACTGAATTTGTTAGTCCTGTGAGATAAATTAGGCCTGTTTCGCACCATGCTAAGTAGCAGCGTAACTACAGTAGCAGGCTTGTGTGCTTTTACACTGGCAGCATACAGAAAATACAGTCATTTCTGGGTTACTGGATCCAGTATTTGTTTAAAAAATGGCCATAAGTTATAAAATGGTTATCAGGACCTGGCGACTAAAAACTACTACAAACCTGATCATCATAAAATCGAATGTACATCTAATTTATGGAATCAAATTTAAATCCAAATGACAATTAATCACAATGGTGCTTCACAAAAGCCTTTCTTGTTAAAGATTGTGTTACATGGTTTATGATGTAATTTTTACTGTGTGGCAAAATATCTTTGCACCGAACTCTTCTCTCAACTACTATGCTGCTTATATGACCATATGCTGAAATAAATACACACTACTAACTCACTGTTTGGCGTGTGCAGCTAGTAGCGCTAGAAAAAGGTCTTACAGCCACTTTTAGGATTTTTTCATTTATTGGCATAATTGCTCACATCTACTTGTCAGTGGTTAACACACTGATTTTTTTTTTTTTTTTACGATGCTTATATTTTTAATTGTGTTATGGTTTAGGTATGTTATTGTTAAGTATGTGCGAGACTGTTGAATGTAAAGTCATTGAATATGACACATGGTAGTGTAGGATTACAAATGTATTAATATGTTTATTTTAGGTTCCAATACAATAGTATATAAACTGAGAAATGTTGTACATTGAATTTAGCATTTAAGGTTAGGATGGTGATTATATCCGGCCAATCCTGTTTTTTCTGTATTTGTAAGATTACTGAAACTCTTAATGGTTCTTTCCTGCCAGTCCTATTTCTCTCTAGTTAAATGAGTCAGATTACTGAGACTCCCACCCTTTGTCTCTATGATAATTTAAGGTTTGAGCAATCTAGTCAGGCTGATTGGATTAGCATCTCAAGCCCCTGAATAACTGCTGTGTTGATGAGATCAGGGCTGGGGAATTTCCGGTAACGAGCTGACTTCCGTACTACATTTGCATGTTTTGTTTCAGAGTGACTCCACCCCTATGTAATCCCTCCCTCTTATAATGTATATATACTACAATGTTTGACTCAAGACGTCAGACGAGATTGAGATGCTACAGCAACGCAATAAAGAACTTCTGCTTGAAAGATACCTCAACGTCTCCTGGTCTCCGCTTCTGACTTTTCTACACTTTAGAAGAAAATAGTTCACAACAGAAGGAGGGATGGAAATGATTGGTCAGTGCATATGCATGGGCATCTTGAGATTAAGACAAATTTCCCTTTGGGGACAATAAAGCATAAAATGGTTTTGTGTGTGTGTGTGTGTGTGTGTGTGTGTGTGTGTGTGTGTGTGTGTGTGTGTGTGTGTGTGTGTGTGTGTGTGTGTGTGTGTGTGTGTGTGTGTGTGTGTGTGTGTGTGTGTGTGTGTGTGTGTGTGTGTGTGCGTGTGTGCGTGTGTGTGTGTGTGTGTGTGTGTGTGTGTGTGTGTAACCTGTATAAGATGTCACACTGGAAAAGCAGATCTTACTCACATGTTTTGGATGTTCCCCGCACTTACTATTTACTGGTCAACCATATTTGATACACTTTCTAAGGTATGTGAAGTACAACTGAAGCCATGTGCTGAATTTGCTATATTTGGTACTCCATGTGATGAAACGAGTCTGACCATTTAAACAGTATTGCCTGGCTTTGCATCCTTATTGGCCTTATTGCATCCAGAGGTTCTCATATGAACAGAGCTGCTCACACTTACATGTTCTGTTAAACTAAAAAAAAAGAAAAAGAATGATTGGTTGGAAGCCAGTTACAATTACAATTGTTTAAATTAGCATGTATACATTGGAAAGAAATCATTTACCTTTTGAGAGTATGTTGACAGTCTGTGTAGTTGTATCGCTGAGCTCCAGAAAATCAGTAATGAGGCTTTGAGTCACAGATTTGAAAAACAAAAATGTGGGAATACAGAACCTTAAACTTACTTTAACACAAAGAACCATTTCAGCATATAAAGTGTTCTTCAGGACGATATGGTTCTAAATAGAACTGTTACTACATGTAAAGAACCATATTTTAAGAGTGTACTTTTATTGTTATTATTATTTCTGTGCCTGTCTGAGTGGCATTTTCATATATTTTACTAAAATGTTATCGATGGTGATGACTGCTTGCTCAGTGATAGTTTTACCGGTTTTACAGTGGACAAACTGCTTCTTTCAAAGGAAAACATTCCCTTAATTCTGAGAAAAAAAAATTAAAACGAAATTGTGAGATAAAAGGTGGCAGTTATGAGTTACCTTTTTAAAACTTTTTTATGTGGCAGAAACAAGCTATAGTCTGGAATAAACTCTACCCCATTGTAAAGTGAAAAGACAACAATGGAAACAAAATATGATCATTTAATGTAATATACTGCTCTCTTGTGTATGTTTGTATGAATTTTGTTGTTTATTCCTCAATTACATCAACAGTCTGTTTCTGAAAAGATCCTCTTTTCTCTTACTAAAATAGTCATACCTGCAGTGCAGAGACATCATTTGGCACTGTTATTTATTAGATGACTCATGAAAACTATTTTTTTTTTAAAGTTCGGTGGTAATGAAAATTTGTTCATTGATTAGGCTAGGCTTACATCATATTTATATGAACCATGGCCTCAGTGCAGTGCATTTTTATGTCCCCAATATTTATTTTTGGATAAATATTCATCATACTCATTAATAAGAAAGTAATCAATTTAAGATGGTTAAAAATTAACTTCACATTGACACCCTCATTACAGAGTTCAGTGGTAAACTGTATTAGTGTAACCTAACAACATAGTCATTCCACTGGCTTCAGTTTATTTGCCATGAACGGATTGCACCCGACCAAAATACATTTGCTATTAAAGGTTGTATGGATATTACCCATACAATGCCTTTCTTTAAGTCCCCCCGTTTGTAACGTCAGAAACACCAGCGATTTCAAGCCCCGTTTTTTGTGACTGTTTTTGGTTCGCTGCAGTTTTAAGAAGAAAATACTAAGCAATGGTGTTGACTTATGAATTTGCACATGGTTTGTCTTAAAGCATAATAAACACCACATTTAAACAACATTAAAAACTTGATTTTTACCACAGGGGGAGTTTAATAAATTGAGGATGTCTCACACTTATGTCCTTTCATATTCTGTATTATTATTATTTTAACTGCACTGACACTATTGGATGAGAACAAAATGGAACTGAATTATAATGACACTATCATTAACACTGTTATTGAACTGAACTGCATCAACATTGAGTTGAGCTGAATAATGACACTCTGTAGAGCTACTTTGCGGCTGAATTTAGTTTGTTTCATAATTGATTACCTTTGCAAGATTGCATTAAGCTGAATTAATAACACTGTTCTCTGTAGAGTTGCTTCACAGCTGAAATGGAAGTTGTTTCATAATTGAGAAATTTTACAACATTAGCACTGTTATTTATTTTTCTGTTTATTAATAATATGAAGCCACTTTGAAATGATCTGTACTGTATAAAGCGCTAGGCCTATATAAATAAATGAGAATTGACTTGACTTCTTTCTGTAATCCTGCCAGAATCTCTTATATATTCAGAAATTCTTGCAACTCTATTCTATCCATTTTAATACATGCATTTCATATAATAATTACAATATAATTTTGCATAAAGCAAAAACGACAGCCGAAATTATGTTTTAGATTATTATTTAGTACTCTTTTTAATGTAGCATTGTTGCAATTTATGCCAAACCTTAACGTTGTGTAATGTATCCATCAGCTGTTATTATTTACAACATTTCATTATAAACGTTGCCCTTATCAAGATGGTAGATTCCCAAAGCAACTCTTCACCGGAAACACACGGCACAGCATTTTGACCTTCTTTCCGGTTCGCTCCCGCCCCACGTAGCCATTTTGCGTTTCCTGGACAAAAAAAGGAGATGAGATAGAAAGACAATCAGACACAGAATATATTTAGTCTTCAAATCATATCTAGAATCAAAAGCGCGGATGTAACTGTGCAATATGATAGGCGCGGGAGCGGGCGAGCAGGTACACCAGCCGCGGCCCGTATTCAAAGTGGAAACAGTTGGCTAGCTGGCTAACGAGCCGTTAGCGAGAGAGTGAGATAAAGACTTCATATACACTAGAGTTTTAGGACATACATGCGTATACAATTATACTCTTCTGCACGCTAGAAGGCGGACGTTGGTAGAAAAAATGGACCGTGTGTTGATTTGAAACGTCGCAGCGGGCAAAAAACAGCAAACGCCACGGTTTTTGCGGAGGAAGCCGGATAACTGTTTATTCACAGGGAATAAAGAGGAGGATCGCAGCACGCCACGGTAAGATAGATTGTTTTAAGCACTTTTGCGTTTGAAACCCAATGGTGATTGTGAGACTTGCATAATAAGACGGGTAAACTCGGACTTTCTGTTGTTGACAGACGCTCATCTTAAGCCTGTCATGAACTAGCCGGACATCTTCAGTCATAACAATATAAGCAAGGGTTTGTACTACGATCATTACTCTAGTCGGTGCATGTGTCTCAAAACCTAGTGAGCTGCCTATCCAAGAAGGATCAGGAACATTTTTTGCCTCTATTTCCCCAAAATGCATTTTCACTGGGGATTTGAGACACAGCCGGATTGTTTCTATTGTTTAGTTTCCCCCTTTCCAGCAGAACACCGGAAACTGACTGTGCCCCCATCCCTAATTAGCATTTATACAATAGTATGCAACTCTTTATATATTTTAACCACACACTTGACTATTCATTCAGCCCCGAGGCCAACAAAACTGATCCACACTACACAAAGTCCACTAAAAAGGTTTTAGTGGTGTGAAAGGTGTGTTTCAACGGCACGAACACATTATAGACTTAAGTGCACTCAATGAGTGGAAGAAAGAACATTACTGGGTACCATTTAAGTACAGTAATAGCACATTAGGGCATGTGTAATCAATACTTGATATTTATAATGCAATGTTAGTAGACTGTTAAGAGGAGGACCTCATCAATGCTGTAAAAAGTGAAAGTGACATGTGAAGGCCAAGTATGGTATTGGTAACCCATATTCTGAATTTGTCATCTGCATTTAAACCATACAAGTTAGTGGACATATATTAGGAGTAGTGACTGAGTAGTGAACAACACACACCTGGAGCAGTGGGGGCATCCATTTTGCTGTGGTGCCCTGGGAGCGAATCGGGGTTCAGGGACTTGCTCAAGGCCACCTCTGTCATTTTTTGCCTCATTGAGAATATCGAACCCGCAACCTTCAGGTTACCAGTCTGACTGTAACCCATTACGCCATGACTGTAGTTCTCAATCCTGGTCGCTGCACATTGTGGATGACACATCCAGATCAAGTCTTTGAGCATCTACTTTTAAGCTGAAGATATAAATCAAGTGGGGTTAAAGGGTTAACCTAGTACACCCAAAAAATGAAAATTCTACCATAATTTACTCGCCCTCATGTCGTTCCAAACCTACAAGACTTTTGTTTGTCTTTGAAACACAAATTAAAATATTTTTAATGAAACCTTTTTGTCCTTCCTTTGAAAGTCCATTAAACCGAAACTTTGATGATTAAAAAAAATCATAAAACATTATGTAATCCATATTAATCAAGCAGTTTAATCCAAGTCTTCTGTAGAATTTACTCATCTATACAAATTGATCAATGGTTTTATGAACTTGAGTCATCACAGGTTTGGTTGTGTGGACTTTCATTGGAGAGACCGAAATGATTTCATTAAAAATATCTTCATTTGTGATTCAGAGAAAACGAAAGTCTTATGGGTTTGGAACAACATGAGGGTGAGGAATTAGACACAATTTTCATTTTTCAACTCTTTAAATATGAGACATACAAAATGTGCAGTATGATCAGGATTGAGATTGTTGTAAAAAGTTGGTTTATGGGTTGGTGGTTAGCAGCTGTGGTTTTCCCTTAGATCTTGCGTGAACCTCCTTTCTTTAAGCAGGAAATGTGAAATTGACTTCTCCATCCCATAGCCTAGATCCCCACCACCACCCTGTAATCATGCTGCTGGAAGCACTGGTGGTCATCCACAGAGCTCAGATGACATACCGTATATGCTTTTCCTTCATTACAGCAACCAGAAAGATTTCTGTGCTGCTAAAAGCTTTCGCACTCAGGTGAAGCGCAGTTGCTTGTCTCCCGTGGTGTGATTGAGTCACTGTCTGTTTTATTGTGCAGGGGTGTCCGGTTATAACTGACGTTTGAAACACTGTAAATGCGTCTGCCAAATGAATAAATGTAACATAAGAATAAATGTAACATAAGAATAGACTGATATGTCCCACATTGGAGTGTTCTTCAGCAGCTTTGCAGTGAATGTAGTAGCCATAGACTGTAAAAAGTAGCCTAGTCTACTTGTAACGTTACAGATAGCTGAGGCTGCTTGGCTGAAGGTGGGCTTCCACCGGCCGGCTCAGTCTCACACAAAGCCCGCCCTTTTACCCATATATGGATTGCCCAGAAGGTGGGCGGGGTTTGGATTTCCCAAGATTTTCAAAAGATGGCGCCGCCCATACCCCCCATAAACGGCCTCAAAACCGTTATTCAGAAAGTCTATGGGTGACGTCACAGACGCTTTGTCCATTTTTTTTATAGTCTAAGTTCCAGAGTTGTTTTCCGAGTTGACTGTCCCAGATCCATTCCCAACACATGTTTGCCGGGAACTGCCGTGTCTATCATTGTGTTGTCCATGTCAAAATACTGTATTTTAAGTTGCTGGCATGAACTGAAAATCCACCCTGTCTGTTGTCTAAATGCTTGTAATTTATCATTGTGCGAACAATTCACAATCGTCACTTTTTTTTTTTTAAATTGACCTTGTAATGTATCAAAATATCATAACTGGTGGTCCTTCCAGCGAAAATGACAGACTCTTGTGACGTATGCAGAATTTCTCTTGTCATTTAGTCCACTTAAACTCCACTCCTGCAAGCTTGTTGATCTGCCTTTACTTGCAACACCCACATCTTAAATTCCAATCAACAACTGATGCATGGAACTAACTACCTGCCCTTCATTTCTTTTCTTTTTTTTGTGATAATCCTTTACACTCAAATCAAATGGTACATCACAATACTGAAGAAAATATTTGTTGTTTTTCGTCACACGACTGTAAAGACAATGTAAAAACGAGAAAAAAAAACTCTTTTCTTTCTTAATGCATGTTATTCCTTTTACAAACAATGTTGTCTTGGCAATATTTTGTATAAGGAAACAACTAGCCTTTTTCTGCTGATGTCAAAAATCCCTAAATTTTTTACCCCTCCCCTCCAACGATCTAACTCCTTTGTCATTTCCCAATGGATCAAATCAAGTCCCAACCACTTTTCCCCCATTTAATATCGCATTTCATTCAGAAACTCATCGATTTACGGTAGTAAAATAGATTTCAAACTGTATTTAATTCTGACTTTATGGACCTCACCCATGTCTTAAATTGAATGTTTCTATTCATTGACATGTCTTTGAAATGTGTTGAGAGTAAAGGCCCCGATATACTCGCAGCAAAGTTCTTTTTCAGTCTTCGCTTAGTTTGGGGTAAAAAGAAGTTCGAATACATGAGCAGCGGTATACTGTGTTAGCGAACATCCTGACGCCGCCCAAGCTGAGAGTGGAGTTTAGATGAATATGTAAATATGTGCTCCACGGTTTCCGTTCCTTTCAATAAAATAAACACACAACACAAATGACAGCGATGAGAAAACCGTAAAGAAAGCATCTGATCATAGCGATGTGGATGATTGTACAAGCTCTGCAATTCGGCACACCGGGCATAAAAAAAAAAAAAGTTTGGTTCCGGTTTGTTGTCAGTTGAGGTCATGGGTCGGTAGGGAATTTTTTTTTTTTTTTTCAGTGGCAGCAAGGGATAGGTAGGAAATTATTCAGGGCTCGACCTTAAGCCTTTTCATGTGCTTGCCCTCCGAACAAGTAAATCTGTCATTCATATCAAAAAAGTTGCTTGTCCAGATTTTTTAAAATTTTATTTATTTATTCTGAAGCAATATTCTCATCAGTGTTCAATCAGCTTTGATATTTAAATTGGCATATTGTAATATCTGCACCTTTGAAGGGCATCCCCTCCCCCAATCTTATTAAATGCCCTATAGTGTCGTCTTATTCTAAATAATTGAATTTATTGATCAAATTTAGGAATTTAAAATGAAAGATGAAGCATACTGTTACCCTAGGTAGGGCTGATCAAATTAAATAATTTACACTGAAAAATTACAATTGCATAAAATAATGTTATGAAATTGATTTAAATGTACAAATAAGAAACATTGGAAAGAAGTATACTAGGCTACTTATAAACATAACAATAAACTGCCAATAGTTGGCGGCAGGCGGCCGTATTAATGAGTGAGTCATTGATTCATTAATTCAAATGATTCGTTTAAACGGTTGATTCATTCAAGAATGAGGGTGTACTCACACTAGGCACGGTTGCCATGAACCGGGCCCGAGTACGATTGTCCCCCCTCCCCACTCCCCCTCTGGCCTGCACTCACATAGGGTTTCAGCATTCGTGCCGGAGCACGCTAACGTCATTATGGTGCGTGCGACGGTTTCGGGATAAACAAGAAGAGCGGCGCTCTCTGAACACAATGGAGTCCATCGCTCTGTTTTCTTTGTGGATAATTTTGTGTCGTTTGGTCCACGGTGGTCCACAGCCTGTTGTTAAAGGGGTCATATAATGGTGCATGCACTTTTACAAGTTGATTGTACTGAATTGTGTGTTGGCAGTGTCTGTACACAACCATCATATAATGATAAAAATCCATCCAGTGGTTTTGTTTTAATCTCCTTATATGTTTTCCCCTGCCTCAAATCGAGCCGTTCGACCGTGTGACGTCACACGCTCGGAAGCCCCTCCCACGATTGTTGATTGACAGGAGCGTCTCAACACAGACCCGCCCTCGCGGGTGAGATCAGCTCCATGAGAGAGCTGTCAATCATAGTCTGCGCGGACCGGCGCGGTCATTGTTGATACGCTGGAGCACTGTCTATGAGCAGAATGGCGTCTAAGCGATTGTGGTGTTCTGTTCTTGGGTGTAATAACGAACACAGCAGTCATTTTAATGTTCCTAAATCCGAACCGCTGAAGACGCAGTGGCTGAGTTTGTTTTCGAAGGGAATATTCCCCACGAGTTTGCGCGAATCATTTCTCACCAGACTGCTTTATAGACGAGGATCAGTATAAAGCTGGATTTGCTAAGCTGCTGCTCATGAAAAATGGATCGGTAGCTGCTACCAGATATTCGTGTTCCTGCTGAATCTCCAGAAGAACGGAAGTGAGT